GGGGGGGGGGCTGGGCGGGGGGGGGGGGCTGGTACACTTCAAGGTTTGGTCACCAGGCACACAGAGAGTGGGCTACCCGGACCAATCCACTGGAGTGACTGGAAACACTGGCTGTCTGGGCCTGGCCCCCACAGACAGCGGAAGCCGGGCTGTCCTCCGGGAAGCTCCCCCTGCCCCTTCATGTGCTTCCAGTAGAGCTTAATAGGAATATGGCTGCTTTTGTTTACTTCCTCATTGGTATGCCAGCACCATGGATCACGTCAGCCACAGCAGCAGCACTAGGCCACTCATTACATAAACGGCAGCAGGAGGAGCAGGGCCGGGGTCACTGGCTCGGTGACTTCCCTCAGTGCTCACAGAAACAACACTGGGCGAGGCAGGAAAGCGACACCCAATCTACGTCTGACATGCTCCGCGCCCAGTCCCCTGAAGGACTCTCCAGAGGAGCCCTAGGGGAGCAGGTGCTGGAACGGACCCAGGACCTTACCCCAAACTTTCACGCAAGAGTTAAGGGGGCCTCCAGCCAGCCGGGATGGGTGTCCCCAGGGTCCGGCAGGGGCCGGGGGTCTGGCGGGGGAGAGTGCGCACGAGGCGCGAGTGTGGGGTACTTACCCGGATCTCGTTCCTCCGGATCTCCACGTCGCAGACCGAGTGTCCCTGATGCGCGCCGCTGTAGTAGCAGCAGTACTGGCACACGGCCACCTGCTCGGCCTCGCAGTGGTAGAGGCGGTAGGCGTTGTGCTGCGGGCAGCTCCAGGCCCGCACGTCGTCCGCCTCCACCAGGAGGTGCCCGCGGGCGGTGGAGGGCTGCTGCAGGTGCGTCTGCACGTGGGACTGGCAGCAGGGCGCCTCGCAGCGCAAGCAGACCTTCTGCGCTGGCAGCGGGGGCCCGCGGCGGCAGAAGACGCAGTGCAGCGCCGCCGGGGGCTTCTCCACGTGCAGTGCGTTGAACTTCTCCACGATGTTGGTGAGCTTCAGGTTCTTCTCCAGCCCCGGCTTCTGATTGTAGGCCTGGTTGCACTCGGGGCAGCGCACGAGGCCGCTGTCCTTGGCCCACGCCTCGCCGATGCAGCCCCGGCAGAAGTTGTGCTTGCAGGGCAGCTGCACCGGCTCCACGAAGACGTGCAAGCAGATGGGGCAGATGAGCTCCTCCTCGAAGCAGTTTTTCCAGTTCTCCGCCATGGCGATTGAGGACAGGGGCCTGGCCGGCCTCCCTCCGCGCGGAGCCGGACCCCACGGTGG